AAAGAAATGAAATAGAAGACCTCTTTTTCCTTTCTCCACATTTCATCATAGTACTTCCTCTTCTGAATTACCTTTAATGGGATTCTCATCCTCGTTTGCTGTGCTTAATAGAAATTTGGGCCTGGAATCTTATGGATTCATTCAGCTTGCTGCTGGTGTACCAATTTATTTTCCTTTGTGTGATTTTCTCCCCCCAACCATGTATCTGTAAGCAGTATTGAATATATTGATTTCATCAGTGCCAGGTTATCTGAAGTAAATTTTGTGTCCAAATTCTTTTGCCTTGTTACCTTACTAATGTTCTTATTTAATCCCGATAAATACTGGATTTTTCCAAATTTTATTCATAAACAGGAACTTACAAGACATTTCTTTCTGTTCTAGAGGAATGAATTAGCAAATTCAATATTTCAGTGTTTCTGGCTAGGTACAACAAGAGCCTATAAGAATAATGATAGAAAAACTAAAGTTTTGGCAAAACCAAAATTTTGTATTGCAGTCCACTTACACTGTGGAGATGGAAATAGGACAGACAGAGTGAAAAGATCTTTATATGGATAATTTTTAAAAATCACTTTTTAGTAGTTTGGGAATTTGTATTAGGTCAGGAACTTCTATTTTGCTAAGATCAAAAATACATTTTAATGTAAATGATTATCAGATTATCTGTTACATTTTATTCTCTCCTGTCCCCACAATAGCTTGTGTAATTGGGAGTTAGTTATCTTTATTTTCTTTGTGGCTAAGCAGTCATTTATTAAATTCCCATTTTGGTATTTTGATATCACCTGGGGCCTGGTAACCACAGTGTGGTAGCAAATAATCGTGTACCAGGTGAGAGACCCCAAAAACCACACGAGGCCATTTGGTTTGGGTTTTATTCAGAGACAATTAAGACCATCGTGTACCAGTAGTTGTCCAGATAATCTCTTTTATTTTACTTGATAGAGTCCCTATCTGTTTAGGAAGAATATTTTCACTTTTGGTTTTCTCATTGGCATTTTAAAGAGTTTTCATGTGTCATCAGCTTAGTTTATATCAATGTGCAATAATAGTGTCTTTGATTATTTTAGAAATTCAGGTCTCAGTTCAAATTTGAAAGGACATTTACTATTTCAGTGAGTGGAGCTGTGTGGAAGGGAAGAATACTTTAGTGTTTGCTTTATGGCCCAGTTTCCAGTCGATTAGAATATTCCTCCCCCTTAAAAATATAAGTAGTCTGGAAGTCTGAAGTAAGGGTGTGTTCCGTGTATGTCCAGTTTGTAATATATTTAGTCAAGGACCAAAGGACTAAATGGTCCTTTTCAGTCCGATGTAGACAGCTCTGGTATGAATATTTGTTACTGGCATAATTGTAGTCTTTGCTTTCCCAGTGTCATAGAAATGACCTAAAAGACACTTTGTTTCTCTTTTGCTAGAAAAGGAAGTTGGCTATGAAAGTTACATCATTTGAGAGACACTTATGACGCAACACTGTATGTCAAAGACAACTCGGAGGTGAACAGGAATAAATAAAAAGATAACTTAATGAATATTTTTATTAAGTACAAAGTGTGTGTACCACATGCAGGTTGAACCTGTTTTGTTTAGCTTGTACGTTGCTTAACAAAAATCTGAAAATAAGATTTGACAGTAATTGCTTTACCTATCTTTATGCAGACAGTGAAGTAGAGCTGAGTTATGGCTGCCCCTCTTATTTGGGGCATGTCTTCTGAAGTTTGCCTTGGTCTTCCTCATTATGTATTCATCATAGCTAACAAATAAGCTAGATTCAAGGATTTTACCTGCCTTTAAAGGAATGGGTCAGTGGAAAATTGGCTCTTTTTTTTTTCTTTACTGATGGTAATGGAGATCCACTATCTGGAACTAATAAATGAGATTAAAATGATTTTATCACATATTTCTTCCAATTAAGATTCATGAACTGTGGTTTGGACACGTCTGTTTTATATGCCAAGTGGCTTCTGAACATGAAGTGAAGACAGTTATGGTAGTGGCACTTAGGCTATGTGACCCTTCTTATTGAATTCATTATCTGCAATAGGAAAAAAGTCCCTCCACCTCCAAACTGGTGGATTATAATTAATTTTAAAGATCTTGTTTCTGAAATTAAAGAAGTTGCTCAGGATTTTCAATTACTCTAAGATGGAATTTTAACATTTTTACTTCTATTTATGAAATAAAGGAAACATCTTCTAAGTTCACCCTTTTTTAAGAAAATTTGAGCACTGATTAAACTGTGATAACTTAAAATTGCATTATTTGAAGGTAAAATTAGTGAGATTTATTAGTCTCTTTTGTATCATGCAGAAATTTAGCCTTTTAGTACTTTTAGTACTTTTGCTTGTCAATAGGATGTATTCAGATATGTTTTTAGTTCAGAATAATATTGAGCAGTTTTATAATATTACTGTCTTAAATCTCCACTAGATAGGGAAATAAAAAGTATACTTTTGGTGGCTGTTTCCGTAAACAAGTACTCCCTACGGTCTGTTTCTTTAAGGTCTATGCCCTTGGGTTTTATTTGCTCAGAGATGGCACAAAGGAATTGATTATAATTTTCTCGAGGTCCATCCAGCATGTGTGCACAGGGACCATATGTGGTGTGCCTGCTCCAATTTCCAGTTCCTTTGTTTCCCAATGACCACAGTTAAGGCTGGTGAATCTTGTGTTGTTTTGTTCTTTCAGGTACTGCGTTACTGTGGTGCATCTTGAAGCAAATTTTGGCATTTTACTTTTTACTTTCATCACTTGTTTCATTCATTGATAATATTGGAGCTTTAAATGTTTACAAAAAGAAAAAGATTAATTTGTAAATCCCAAATTATGGTTAATTTAGGTTCAGTCCTTCTGTGAAAATTGTTCAGTATCACTAAGAAGAATCATTAAGATGTTACTCAGGGAGAGCTGTGAATGGGTGTCCTATTTCTTGAAAATTTATGGAGTAAATGAGTATCACTAAGAAGAATCATTAAGATGTTACTCAGGGAGAGCTGTGAATGGGTGTCCTATTTCTTGAAAATTTATGGAGTAAACCTATAAAGCTTATGTCCTTTGATTTTTCACAATATTAAGGGTGAGCAAGTCTCATAAAACTTAGAATTTGAGAATGAGCCACATTTTATAATTTATTATATTCAGGAACTATTATACAGGCTTTATTTGAAAGAAGTCACATATTTGACTTATATGTGGATAAAGTCAAATTTCTACCCCTTTACAGCTTCTGCCCTTAGAATTTTGGTTAGACTTTCTGTTTTTATACTTTGTAGGGATGGGTATTTTTATTGTTATAACAACTTTTGAGACTCTAATCATTAGTTAATATTAGATTCCTGATCTTCTACTGTGAAACTGTATCTATTCTTGTTTCATGTACTTTGAGCTCACAGATTGAATTTACCTAGTGCTTTTGTGTGTGTGTTGGTGAAGTGTCTAATTAGGAAATTAGGAAACTGATTTATATAGAAACTGGCTTTTGTTTATGAGAGGAAGATCATATTGCTAATACTAGCATTAGTTGTTTGATAAATTAAAAAAAAAGATTATATTCCTAATATTAGCATTACTTGTAATGGAAAGACTGCTGAACTGGGAGTTAGGAGGCATTCTTGTTTTTAACTTTGTATTAAGTTTGTATTTTTGGATAAGTTTAGTTCACATCTCTAGGACTCCTTTTCTTCATCTGTAAAATTGAAGAGGTGAACTTTGATGATTTCTTAAGATCTATTTCATTTCATCTAGTATCCTATAATCCTTTAATTAAGAGTGTTGCCTTTCTAGGAAACAAAGTATTCTATTAGTATTTGCGTACTATTTTTCTCCTGTAAAGGACTTTGGAAAGGTCTGTTTTTGTTATGACTCAATCAGTGTTTAATATGTCACCCATATCACTTTGTGCACCGATGCTTTCTAAAATTGGTCTAAACCTATACTTATCTCTCATTTCTTTCTCATTTTCCAGCCAGAATGCTCCAGGATATTATCTCTGGAATGTCCTTCTCAGTTTCTTAATTCCATGTCTTTGCTTGAACTGTCTCCTTCTATGTACTCTTTCCTATCCCCTATCCACTTTGAGCCCCCATAAGATTTCATTTATGATTATTTTGGCCTTGTATGATAGCTGTTTATGTTTTGTGTTATGCTGTATAGGAGACTGGAAACTCTTTCAATATAGGAGACTGGAAACTCTTTGAAAGCAGATGTTTAATTTTCATCATCTTATTAAGCTTATTACTGATTCACATAGTAGGGGCTTAATTAATTAATATTTATAGAACTAAATTTGTAAGATGATTACAACACGGATACAGTTAATGACAATGAATGGTGAAAAATTAACAGGATAATAAGGGAATTACCATAGCCATTTTGAATTAAAGCAGTGTTTTAACCACCTAAGTAGATGGCAAACATTTGTATTCCATGGTCACTTAGGTACTATCATTCCTGCTTACCATCTATTCATTCCTACTGACTCATGTACAGACATACTTATATTTTCTCTCTGTAACCCATTTAACTACTTGCTTCCATTCATCATTATAGTTTAGCACTGCCGTAGTCTTAAACTTTTTATAGTACAGATGCTGCTCTTCACCATGGAGTTATGTCCCGATAAGCCCATTGTAAATTGAAAATATCATAAGTTGAAATGTATTGGGTTACATCCTGATGAATCCATCCTAAAGTTGAAAAATTATAAGTTGAACCATTGTAAGTCTGGAGTGTCCATACCTAATTCAGTTAACATTCTTGCTTTGATTTGTATATCTGCTTTCCTGACCTTTATCTCCTTGATCTTGCTCATACGCTTATTACTTTAATCTTATGTTGCTCTTTTACATGGTTCTAACTATTCACCTTTCTTTAATTTGCTCTTTTGCTTTTTAGAAATTGTTCATTATTTGCTTGTTAAAGACACATGCTTTTTTGGTTGCTGTCTTCAGGTGGGGTTTACATTGACAAGTGTCTTAGAATCAGTTTAGTGTTGAAGGTCGATGGTGGAATTGCTGGGCATCAAGAATGAGCTTGAGTTAGCTCTCTTAGACTTAGCAATCCAGGATCCTTTTAGCAGTGGGAGAATGTCTGCAGGAGCAATGGTAGCATTAGTCCTTTGGTTAAAGGAGTTGATACGAATTACAAAAAATGTCAGATATTAATGGGCATTTTTACAGGTGGACTTTTTGGTGGGTGATACCTGAATTGTCGAATTTATTAAAGAATTTCAAAATGTCTATCCTCTGTGTGGATAGATGGGTACAGATGATTTTTCCCCCGCTTTGGGTTCAATGATCTCTTTACTGTTGAATTGTCTCTGACAGATGAACGGTTGGTTTGGACTTGATAAAAGAACAAAGGGTAAATAAGACAATGAGTAAAAAAACTGAAAAGAGACAGGAACAGTAAAAGATGTATGGTAAAAAGTTGTCTGTCTTTGTGTGTGTGTGTATGTGTGTGTGTGTGTGTGTGTGTGTATGTATAACAATTATATGGTAAAAAGTTGTCTGTCTTTGTGTGTGTGTGTATGTGTGTGTGTGTGTGTGTGTGTGTGTGTGTGTATGTATAACAATTATGTCACTTGAAGTCAGTAGCATTTATTAAAGAATTCTTGAGAATATCATGTTAAAGGATTTGAGATGATAATGTGAGAAGGTAGCCCAGAAGAAATTTCTGTTGGACTAAGTTTAAAACTATGTTGTTTTTAGTTCTATTTTTACAGCACATCTCAATCTCTTTTAAGAGCTTACTGTATTATCAAATATTTATTGTCAGATACTATATTTGTATAATAGCAAAGAGAAGCTTGTACATTCTTAAAGAAGTGTATCGACAGTCAAATAGCTTTTCTCAGAAAGCATATGGATAATTTTATTGATATAACATTTCCTTATAGGTGCAAACAAGGAAAATATGCATTGTCCATTCCGTTCTCTCAGAAATAGTAAATAGGGAGTCCATACCCAGGACTCTTTCCCTAGTATTTGTAGTGGAAGCACTTCATAGTAGAGAAAAAAATTGCATGTAGACTTAAAAGAATTTTGGTTAATTTGATTTTGGATAATATTAAGCCGTTTGTTTTATTTTAACAGGTATCTTTCAGATGAAGGCATTGAAGCTTGCACAAGTTCTACTGACAAAGTCAATGTAAATGACATCATCCTGATTGCTCTCAATGTAGGTTTATAAGGTTAACTTATAAACATTTTTAATCTGGAAGGTATAGTCATGAAAAACTGGATATTATGGAATAAACTGGATATTATGATAAGTAATATGGAAAACACTTTTCATTTTTTTGTCCATTGTAGGTTATAGTGATGTTTGTTGAATCTGTTAAGTTCATATCAGCCAGTTATTTACATGTATTATACAGAATCCAATGAAAGAAGAAGAAAATGCAATTAATACTTCTTTTTCACCCAGTTATCAGTTTTGGAATTTCATAACATTTACAGTAGCTATGTCCTAGTAGTGAAAATTGTCCATTCATTAAAACAAATTGCCATTTAATTTACATGGAACTCTAGTTTAAAAAAAAAAATCTAGCTAGGTTATAGCTTTTGGCAACTGTAATTATTGTTTCAAAGTAACTTTTTCTGATGATAGAAGTAATATTCATTGTAGAACATTTCAGAAAATGCAAAAAAGCAAAATAAGAAAATTAAAATGACTTATTTACTGTCATTGCTTTGGTGTTTTGGTGTATATTTCAAGAGATAAAAACTGTTTGAAATAAAAGTGTAAATAAACAAATGTTCTTTTTTCAATTCTGCAGCTATCCCTCTGGTAGTTTCTTCCTGTTGCTTTACAACAACAATCTATTAATAATCAAATTTATATGTTGTGATACATGCTAAATGAAATTTATAGGAGGACAGTTGTCTGACAAATCCATCACATCACTATACAATCAATATAACATAAAGCAGAAATAAAATATAAATTAATGTATAGTGGTATGTAACTTTTTCTTTTAAAATCACTTAAGTTTATATTTATAAAATTAAACTTGGGTTTAAACAGACAAAATTTATGTTCTGAACTCTAAGTCATTTTTTTCAGCTTCTTTGAATTTTATTTGATAAGACTAACAGGATCTTTTTTTAAAAAGTTCTGAGCCGTGTATTTACATTTTTATAAGCAAAAGACTAAATTTTTTATAGAAAGCATTAGTCAGAAATTGTACATGTCATTTTTGACTATAAATGGCAACATTCTCTAGACACTTTAACTTTCTTTGACTTGCTCCCAAATTTGTGAATTCTATTTTTTAAAATGTTGTAAAGAACTCTATTTTCTTGTTTATTTAAGAAAAATTTAAGATGATAGGAAAGAGATTTTATGATAATCTGCTGTTCTTTATTTTTCTTATTTATGTATGAAAATAGGTAAATAGCAATGAGCTATCTATAAAACTGGTGTGAAACTTTAAATAAATCAAGATGAAGTGTTTGTGCTATGCACATAAGAGGTACACGATGGTCATTATCTGAATGAATGAATTTGTCTTTGTCATTTTCTCTGAAATATATAGTTGAATATTCCAATTCAACACTATTATGCCATATCATAATATAAGAAGAAAATTTTAATCATGATGAAGCCTATAGTAGACAAATGATCTACTTTTCAAGTTTATCATTTTTTAATAAAATTCAAGCATTTATTTTATCCTGTTGAATTTTTTTCAACTTTTGCGTGATTGCAGGATATTAACCACTAGTTGAGAAAGACTTGTATTATTGAGTCTTCATATGTACACACACACATATATATACACATGTATGCGTATATATACATATAAAACATTATATATTAGGAGAATAATCCACACATAAACTTTCTTATGCTCTCTTCTTCCTTTGGGGAACTTGTTCCTTTATCCAACAGTGAACAGTGTGATAACACGTATGCAGTTTTCTCCCCAGGGAAGCCCGTTAGAGACCAGCAGTCCAAGGATTTTTATTGGGCTACTCACAAAGGTACCCATTACCTAGCATGTACCAAAATTTCAGGACCCCCCCCCCCAAAAAAAAAGCAGGTGTTCACCATAAATCACATTGTTTATACAAACAGTCTAGGCAGTGAACCACATTTTCAGTTAGGTAAGGGTTCAAGTGCAAAGTTCCCAGATGCCAGCCTAAGGCTAACTTCTTAAACAGGCCTTCCTAAAGATTAAAGATGACTGCCTCAGATCTGCTATGTAATTCTTTTATGCTCAAATTTTTATGTTGAAAAGAAGTATTCTTAAATTGTTACTCTGTAAAGTGGAGAGTAAGACTATTAAGAACTGACATTGAAATCCAGGATATAGTTTTGGGTTCAAATACCTGAATTATTAAGAAAAAAATTAAGTGATAGTTCAGTCTTAAGTTACTGAACACTATCTATTGGTAAAAAATTAAAAATATTATAGTCTTATTTCTCTTAAGAATCTGTGTAATATAAAATGATGTGCTAAATAGATATTCTCTAGAACTTACCTGAATAGTTAGGAATCGTGTGTGTGTGTGTGTGTGTGTGTGAGTGATATGTATGTAGGTAGATGCTTTGAAAATTATTACAAGATTTTTTATAGAATAAGTGTTTCTCCTGCATTAATTTTATTTTCAATATAAAAGTATTCTTGGATCCAGTCATTGTCTTAGCAATTCTGATATATGACATCTGAATAACAAAATTGCCTTTGCAGTACTTATAAGTTGACTTTGAATTTAGAATGTTTGAAGGTTTGGTACACCATTATCATCATGCTAAAAGCACATTGAAATGACATTCCTTATATGTGTGTATAGCACTTTAAAAGTTATGTAAACTTTGAGTGTATTGTCTTTTTTTAGCCTGATGACAACTTTGTGAGATCTGATTCCTGGTATTTTTTTCCATTGTATAAAGGAATAAGTTAACTGGGTTTAGAAAATTTGTGACAGTGTCCAAGATCATATGATTAGTTAATTACTATTGGGATGAATCAAAGTTTACAATTTATGTCTAGTGTTCATTTATATTACACTGATGCCTCATTTTAGTTTGAATTAAATTTCATAATTATTGACAAAAACTAGAAATGAGGGACTATGGTATATCATAAAATTTGTATAAATTCTGTTTCTCATTCATATTTCAATATTTTAGCCTGGGAGTGACTTCAGAATAGTGCCTCTGTTTTTATGAACTGTTAGTTGTATTGTTGACTTAATGGTTATATATGTTTGGGTGATAACAAAATGTACATGGTTTATATTCGCTAAAATAAACATGATGGCTAATATTCACTGAGTGTTTACACTGTGTAAGGCATTCTACTAAGTGCTTCACATGTATTAACATTTAGTCTTCAAAACAGTCCTAATATTGGGAAGGCTAGTATAAGAAAGTTTTTTTTACCTGTATGTTACTCAGTATTTTCAACGTGAAAGGGCATACAACCTCAGGTACGGTTTAAAATTCTTTTCACCTTGTTATTTGAGGCTGCCAAAAGCAGAAACCTAAAGCATTGTAGCACAAGGATTTGAATTTGGCACTTAGTTTGCCTGGCAGTTCCATTCAGTGAGTTTCAGTTTAGGAATGATCTTTGCATTACATTTAGAAATAAATTATGAATCATAGTAGTAAAGGACTGGAAAGGATCTGTGGGGGTTGTATAACTTACATGCTTGTTTCTTAAGCTGACCACATATGGGTATTTCAAAGAGGAGGGTATTTTATTATTGTATGTGTTCAAAGAATACTATCCTACTGCTCTATATGTATTCATTTCACATGACAGTAATTTTAATCATCTAGTGTTTTCTCAAGTCTAACAAAATTTTTCCCTTATAATTTGTATGATTTAGTGTACTCTTTGTCTATTTTCTTTTATTCTTAAGGGGATGACTATATTACACTTAAGGGGGTTACTATATTTTAAGGAGTAACACAAAAACAATGCAACTTTAGGTATGACTCTAATCTTACTGTCTTCAAGCATCAGGATAATTCCTTAGTTTAGGTAATTGGACCTTTTTCATGAATACTGATAGTTTTCCTCTGAATCAATTTCTTACTATTCCTTTAGGTTTTCACCTCCTAAAGAGGACATAATCCTTAAAAGTTCTGCTTTTTATGTAGACAGTGGAGTTGAAGTTTTCTGTTTATGTCACAAGTGCTATAACCTTGTTTATATTATCCTTATGTTTTGCTTTGGTTTACTAAGTTATGTATACTTCTGCATTTTCACATAGTCATTTGTTCACTAACTTCTATTTTGGTAATTTGCTTAAGCAAATGAAGTAAATTTTTACTACAGTAAAGTCTTACTGTGACTTCTTTGCTATTCCAGTGGTGTTGTTCCCTGGGATATTTGTATGTTATGGAGCTTTGTTATGTTATACATATCATAGCATATAGAGTAGTGTGTTTTCATATCTCTGCATTGTCAAGGTTATGTGATGTTCAGTTGTTAAAAATATACTATGTTTATGTATTCAAAAGCTGTCATTTGATTTTGTATTGTGGCATTACTTTTTTTGATAAGACCATAATTTGTATAAAATCAAGTTTTAGATTTTAATAGAGAAGAGCTAATAAGTTAAAAGGTTGCCTACAGAAATATGATCAGAATTAAGGCCTCATATGTTACTGTTCACCTTATTGGCACACTTTAAATAACTTATGTATGGGACTTTGTTATTTAAAAAGATTGATTATATATATATGGATCTCATAATCAAAGACATTTATTTAATTTTTGTCCCCAAACTTTAATTAAGTAACTTCATCTTTTGTTCATGAGATTAGATTTAGAATTACTTTTGCCTGTAATTCTATTTTAATAATAATATTTTTATTTTAGACAGATCTGAGAACAATTGGCAAGAAATTCCTTCGCAGTGACATCAATGGTGGAAAGGTAGAAAAGGTAAAGAAAACCATTAACTTTCTAAATTATGCCAAATATAATAAGTATGATCATCTACTAAATTATTGCAATTATTTTTTGTCAATAAAGACTGCAACTGTAAAATATTTTGGAGGTGGACAGATCACAAAGTCATCATTATGGTGACTTCCTGCACACATGGAAAATCAAGAGTTAAACTTTTGGTGACTTTTCAACATTTTAGAAAAACTTTTGTTTCGGGAATTATAACTATGGCGTATTTACTTCACATCTGAGACATAGATGTTATTGCAGCAGGACGAAGACCTTTTCTTACCTTTTTATTTTGGTTACCTTAATAAACTGTTAAGTTTATTTAATGATTATATTTAATAATTATTTATATTATTAAGTGTAGATGTATAAAATTATGAGAGAAAGTTAGGAACAATTTGGCAAAGCTTGATTATTCCTGTTATTTTGCATTATACATGTATTTATTCATGTTATGAATTTTTTCAGTTATCATTATTAAACACAAAGGTATATTTATTTTTAAGATATCAACCAGTCAGTTTTTTACTTCCTATTCATTTATATTTAATTTCTTCTTTTTATTTGAAAATACATGTAAATCATGTCAGCCAAGAAATTTATATGTGCTGTTGGTCACTTTTGGAGCTATCAAGGAACATCATTATCTCTAATTTAAAGAAATACTTTCAATGTATATGTTTTGTGTTTGAATATTCTTATCATTTTAACACTCAGATATTTAAAATGGTTATTACACTTCAGTTATTTTAAATTTTAGATAAGTTACAGAGGTCTATAATAAGATTTTTACAAATGTAATGAGATTTTTTACATTTTCTAATATATTAATCCATTTATGCAAAGATGGTAATCATTTAGGTGGGAAGGACCATTAGAGGGGGATTCTAATATACTCTAGTTTTGAAGGACATACTCAGAGAAGAAGGTTCTACAACTTCCTTCAGAAATTTATTTTAGGGCCGGCCCGTGGCTCACTCGGGAGAGTGCGGTGCTGATAACACCAAGGCCCCGGGTTCGGATCCCATATAGGGATGGCCGGTTGGCTCACTGGCTGAGCGTGGTGCTGACAACACCAAGTCAAGGGTTAAGATCCCCTTACCGGTCATCTTTAAAAAAAAAAAAAAAAAAAAAGAAAAAGAAATTTATTTTAGTGTTAACACTGTGTATCAGCCAACTTTAATTATATTTTTACTTAAATGTCTTGTGCTGCAACTTAAAACAAGGGTTAAGATCCCCTTACCGGTCATCTTTAAAAAAAAAAAAAAAAAGAAAAGAAAAAAAAGAAATTTATTTTAGTGTTAACACTGTGTATCAGCCAACTTTAATTATATTTTTACTTAAATGTCTTGTGCTGCAACTTAAAGTCAGTAACATTGTCTTTATATTCCCTCAGGAGAAATGGAGAGTATCTGGTTGTCTTCCTCTGCGAATTATTCTTTACATACTTTTAGACTTGTTAATATCACCACCAGTGCCACAGGTTTCCTTTTGCTAAATATGTGTTACACTTCTCACTGTGTAATGGAGATGCAAAAAAGGATTACTCAAAGCAACATGAATGCAATGAGAAGCCCAAAGGGACTGCACCTCAGCAACTCTTCTGTTAGAAAGAGAAAACTGGGTACAGCCCCGATTCAAAGTTAGCTTCTGGTTTTTATTGTAAAGACAAGGAAGTTTCACAAGAAAAATCAGTTGATTCAATCATTTCAAAAGGACACAAAGACATGGGCAATGTGACAAAAATTATCTAACAAAAGTTAGCTAAGTATAGCTTAAACAATAGAGACTAGTAAAATCATTTAAATTAACAAGATGACGTTCCAAAGTACAATTTGTGAACAGCTAAATTGATAAGACTGTAATCATCGTCTAACCCAAAATAATATCCTATCCCCAAATGATTTAAGCAAAAGTTACGTTCTTATAATTGTCTCTAAAGTTTCCACCAACAAACAGCTTGCCCTTAGAAAACATTTTTTTCACATTTTTCCCTCCAGCAATTCCTTCAACATATTTTAACAACAATCAGTATTTTAAATAGTCAAAATACATAATCCCATCCCTAAACAGTGATTAGAATTGATTAGATGGGCTTTTGCCACACTGTCTGTGGACTTCTGTCCCCTAAATGGAGGGCTTTTGCCCCATACATGCATTACCTAAAAATCCTATTTTACAAATCAAATGAAAATCAAGATTTCTAACCCTCTATAAATATGAATCTTCCCTTTGTTTATTCTTAGTCTCAAGTTTTTCTTTTGTCTTCACTGTTCTTCTCAGAGTCCTCTCTAGTTTCTTTACCTTTCTTTTTTCGATTATAGTAGTAGTTCTCAGGCTTTAGTATACATCAGAATTGCCCTGAGGCCTGGCTAAAACACAGATTGTTGGGCCCCAAACCTCACCACCCATGCCCCCCTTCCTTCTCCACCAAGTTTCTGATTTCAGTAGGAGTAGGATGGAGCCTAAGAATTTGTATTTTGAACAAGTTTCCAGTAGACATTGATTTTGCTGGTCCGGGAAGCATACTTAGAAAATCACTGGGTTGTGGAACCTCAGATTAGGCAGCAATCTTGGGTAGGTCTGATGACTGCAACAATCCTCTGTAGGAAAAGTAAATAACATCAAAGCAGTGTCTGCACATCCTTACACTACTTTACTTAAGAAAATTTTGAAGCTTTCTGGATTATTGACTTTTCACTTTCTCTCTGTGTATCCTTAGAGACACTGAGAACCCATGTTGCTCATGGGATAATGGTGATGAGACTCTTCTCTGCTTCTTCTACTCTCTCAGAACATTTTTGCTTCTAAAAGTTTTGCACAGTGGTCCCTTTAAGATTTCATTTGAATATAGCTAACAACAATAAAAAACAACTTAAAACTTCCTATCTAGATTATTTTGTGCCAAATTTTCTCCTTTACTACATTCTTAATGCTAACATGACTTTATACATAAAATGATTAGATATAAAATAAGCCATTTTCATTTACAACAAAAATCGAGTTAGATATCTCTTTCTACTCTTCCTCTTTAATTATATTTTTCCTTTTGTCTCCTATATCTGGCATCAAATATGGTTCTCTTCACAGTATTAATGAAGATGTTTTGAAAATAATTTTAGTAGAAATTTTAGAAGCTAACACAGAAATTATTCATTTTGTTTGCCTTTAGTTAAAACTCCATATACTATATACACAATAACTTTTTAGGCTAAAATAAATGTACAAGGATTTTTTTTTTCTTTTAAAAAAAATGACTGGTAAGGGGATCTTAACCCTTGACTTGGTGTTGTCAGCACCACACCACCCAAGTGAGCTAACCGGCCAGTCCTATATAGGGATCCAAACCTGCAGCCTTGGTGTTATCAGCACCACACTTGCTTAAGTGAGCCATGGGCCAGCCCCCAAGGAATGTATTTTTGACATGAATTACTTTGGCTTCTTTGTCAGTAAAATAAGACTAATGCAGTAAGTGCTACTTTATTTGTGCCTTAATTAGATTGCTTTATTAACCAGCATTTTACTGTGTTAATGGTGACTGAATCACTAAAAGATATGACTCCAGAATAATTAGTTACTGAATTACTTATGTTATAGTTCTTGTTTAAAATAAACTTTGTTTTAATCTGTGCATAAAACATAGGGCAACATTTAGTAAGCAGAGTATTTGAATAAGTAATCTGCCTATATCTTGACCAGGTCAGATTTTGTTATAAAAGAATATTTTTGGGCCGGCCCAGTGGCACACTGCTACAGTGCACCGCTTGGGACCAGTAACAGATTGGAAAGATGCAGACTTTAGAGTCATTGGTATTGATTTAAATCCTATTTCTACTGCTTATTAATTTTTGTGACTTATCAAGTTATTTGATCTTGCTAGATTGTAGTTTCCTTACCATACCATTCAAATATTACTCCCTTATGACATTGAAGATTCAAGCGAGACAATGTATGTGGAATATTAATCACAGTACAATACATATGGCAAGTCTTAAGGATTATGAGCAATTTAGGATCATATTTTTGTCCTGGAAATCTAAGAATGCATGAATCCTTATTACCTCAGTTGGGTATTTTGTTTCTGAAACATCTCCAAGGGAATTCAATGAGTGAAGTAAGGCAAATGGGTGCACCATTATTATTTGGGTTTTGGCCCCAAACCCTAACAGAGAACTGTACTACTTGAGCTGTGATGATCTCTATGATAGAATCAATGCAGGCCAAAAGCCCTTGTCTGACTGTTTCTATTAAGTTTCAAATCTGTGATAGTACTGCTTCTAAGAGAGAGAAAGCCAGGGGCCAGCCTGTTAGCTCACTTGGGAGAGTGTGGTGCTGATAAAACCAAGGTGAAGGGTTTGGATCTGAAAGAAAGTGAGCCGAAAAGCTGGGTACTGATCAAGCTTTATTAAAGGAAAAGACTCTGCCAGGCTGCACTCAAAATGGAGAGCAGCAACTGGCATTAGGGTTGGAGGGCTTATATAGGTTGTAAGGAAGGCTGACATAATCAGGGAGGGGCTTGGTGCTGGTGTGGAGGAGTTTCAATTTCTCAGAAACTATGAGGTTTTTCATAAGAGAAGGGCTGGCAGCCATTTCGTGCTGAGTGTGTAAAATGGCACTGGTCATGTCCAAGATGGCACTGGTCACGTCCAAGATCCATCATTCCTGCCTTTTAAGTATAGGGAGAAGGGAAAAGGGGTGAAGGTGTCATTCTTCTGAAGCTACTTCTTGTTGGAGATGGGCGAAGATATGAAAAAAATAAAACAACTAGGTGTGGGGTATTAGTTTCATGTGGGGAGGCTGTATTCTTATGGGGAAGGGTTGACCGTTCTCAGGGGTTGATATCCTCCTCCCAGGAACAGTTAGGTGACCTTTTGGTTGGTGAAGGCCTACATACATTCCTATAAGAAATTAGAGAAACACCAAAATAGGCAGGGACCAAGAAGGAAGTCCCATCATGCTTAAGGGTCCGACGTGTTTTGTCCTGA